TTTCTCCTAATCACTTTCTAATAGCGACTCCACCGAAGAAAGACTACTCCTTTTTATCTTCTTACGCAACACAGAGTAACATGGGGACTTCCATGTAATAACACATATCAATCATGCATATGCATAACCAACCGTCAATCTCCATATTGACTCATTTAGTTATGTGCAAGAACGGACGAATAGAACATGCTTAATAACACACTCGAAAAGAACGAGAAAAAGAACAAATTCGGTTCGTGCACATGACTGTATGAGTCAGTATGAAGATCCCAGGTTAATTATGCATATGCATGATTGAAATGGGTTGTTACATGGAAGTCCCCATGTTACTCTGTGTTGCGTAAGAAGATAAAAAGGAGTAGTCTTTCTTCGGTGGAGTCGCTATTAGAAAGTGATTAGGAGAAAAGTGAAACTTCATTGTGAACTGTGATTTCATTAGATGGGTAAAAAAGATTTCAAACATCTTTATCAATCCATCAAAAACGATCTTGGGACAATCACTTGCAAAACTTCCTATTTTTGTGATGAGTTTGATGAATCACGAAATTATGCTGATGTAATTATCTATGCAATTGATGGAAAATTTCAGTGGATTAATCTTGGTGAGTAAAACTATATGAGAAACTCGAGAAATAAATAATTATTCTTGTTCGGATAGAGGGTGGAAAAGCAAATGGTTTCAAAGGAAGAAGTTTCTACTTGATTATACAGTGTACAAATAATTGGCCAGAAGAATGTCGAAAACAAGCTGGACAAGGACGTGTACATAATTATCAACTAAAGAATGTTCTAGGCATTGAATTCAACCAAGATCGTGTGGCTTGTGGTGGATTCGCATATGTAAATAGATAACTGAAGTTTAGTACTATCTGGCTGTGAATCAAAGAAAACAAACTGGTACAGAAAGTGATGGGAACAAGATGTTGAGTGAAGAAGAAAAAATCTTAGTAATGTATTGTTTCGATGAATATAAGAAGCATGGTAAAAACCATAAGTTTGAAATATCATCTTCTTTGGACCGAACATTATCAAACTAGTTAAACGTATTCCAAATATTTCTGTAAATGATGCAGATTCATGAAGACCGTATCAATTGTTTTTAATTTTCAATTGATATTCACGTATACATGACTTGGATGTTTTCATTCTGCGAGCCGTACTATGGTCGACATAAATTGTTGCTCTTCTTATTGGAATTTTCTGAGAAATGGAAAGTGACACAGAATATTATCGGATGTCTATGTGATCGATCCAAAGATGAGAGGCATTATCTGCAGGAGGCTTTTTTCACATTCATAAAACATTGTAGGAGAACTTCTTTTTTTTCAGACAAAACTACTCTTGAAACACAAGGAATAGTCGCAGAATCTGTATTGACAACTGGAAACGGAACCAAAATTTTGTTTTTAAATGGATTTCTATTTCAAAGATTTAAAAATACTTCGTTCTATTCGGTTGCATTCTGTCTACGGTGACAAAGTAGAAAGTGGATTCCAATGACAATGTCCAGATTCAAAGAAAAATGCACATTAATTTTGTGGATTATTAACAGTCTTATTTTTTTAATTGTTTTTCTTTCAGATAGCTGTTTGCTAGACTTATTTTCTCTTCTGTAAACAACTAAAAAATAGAATAATTATTAATATAACTCAGAGAAAAGCACGATAATGTCCAAATCTTCCAAAAAGCAACTCTCCAAGTCGATGATACACCGTCGTAGGAATGATGATCAGCTGACAACTGATTCGGCAGTTTCCGTCCCAATTAGAGTAATGAGGCAACACTCGGATATTTCGTCCACTCGTACAAAAACACATAGTTGGGAAGATGGTCGAACTTATTATGAAAAAGCAACCACTCAGAGAAATCGTCTCATCAAAATTATTTGCATCTCAGACACTCACAATGGACATACGAAATTCGAGTTTCGGGACAAAATCCAATCAATGGGTGGTGATATCTTAATCCATGCCGGCGATCTCACTGATCGTGGAACACATGAAGAATTACGTAGTGCATTTGACTGGCTTCTGTCATTAGATAATTTCACGTACAAAATATTCATTTCTGGCAACATGGATGGCATTGGTTTGGACAATTCTCATCTCAGCAATAGAGAACAAAAACGTTGCACACTATTTCGAAATAATAAGAATGTGATCTATCTGGAAAATGACTCCTGCGAAGTGTTTGGTATAAAAATCTATGGATGTCCATATACACCAAAATTTTATGGTGGCTTTCAATATCCTCGACAGTCTGTGCAAGCAGAGATGTTATGGGACCGAGTTCCAGAAGATTGTGATATTCTGATCTCTCATGGACCACCTGCTGACTTTTTCGATACAAATTCCAGAGGTACGATTGTAGAATACATATTTTGAAGTTCCAGCAAGGTCTTTATCCGCAATAAGAATAAAGCGCCTAGGACGTTTTTTTAAACAAACTGAAAAAGTGATACAAGCCTCTAGTAAAGTGGAAGAGACTTTTTTAATTCTAAGACGGTTATTGTTACTCACAAAGACAAAAAATATTCTCTGTTGATTAGCAGTGGAAATTAGAAACACTTTATGCATTGCGATGATGTTCAACAGGAAATATTCGTATATTTATAGTATTTAAAGATTGATTTTTCTTTCATTCTTAGGTGTACATGTCGGTTGCGAGAATTTATGGAACACAATCTCGAAAAGAGATCGATTGAAAGCAATCATATTTGGTCATGTTCATCATTCCTATGGATTTAAGCAAAAAGACAATAAATGGTTCATCAATGCTACACAATATAATGGTATTTATCAAGGAGATATTCGTAATCAACCATTCGAACTTTACATGCAATCATGGGATAAAACGGTTTCTCAAGTTACTACCGCTTTCATCAAGGATGGCCCAAGAGAATCCGGTTTAGGAAAGGATATCTGTGGAGGTCAACCATTTTTTCAGAATAAACATCCAACAGAACGCAACATAATTGACGCTTACCTTCCAGAAGACAACGAAAACTTTTGAAGACTACGTTGCAGTGACCATCCTTATGAAATTATTTGAGTCAACATAAGAACTGATGTAGTTAGAGTGAGATCAGAAATATAAATCGATCTTTTTCAAGTTTTCTTTTAATTATTATTATTATTGAGTGAAAAAATTGAAACAAAGCAAAGAGAACACAAGAACAGTATCAATAACAAAAATTGCAGACAACAATAAGAACGAAAATGACGGCAGAAAAGAGGAGAAAAAAACCAATGAATAGTACTCTACTGATCTGAATCGATTCTAACACAAGGCTTTTCGGATTGTTTCTTTTTCAAGCAAACAACTTTATTTCTCGGGGATGATCTTAGAACAATAAGCTCTACGAAGATTCTTTTTCATAAATATAAGATTCACACAGTGAAAAACGACAATTTTTTAAGAGAAGTTTCCAGATGTTGGTTTTCTCTGCTAAAGAAAAAAGATTTTACTGAGACCAATTGAAACAAATGGCTTCTCATTTTAATTATATTCATTAGAGTTTGTCGTGAACAACTGGATATGAGAGAAAAAAGTTCTCTCCTGAGCATAAATTTCATTCTTTTTAATCTACGCGGGCACTGCTGCTGCAGACTGAGGAAAAACCTTTATAACTTTTTTCGGAGGTTTTTTCTTCACTAGCAGATGTCTCAAACTATCCGAGAGTCGAGTTGCATACAACACTGCAATATCACTCCGTGGAGTGCACTCTAATATTTGCTGCCAAATTTGATGGGAGCGAGAATGTGTATGTGAAGCGAAGAAGTATGTCTCTACCGAAATCGATCTTTTTCTTTTCTTTTTGGTTATTGTGTGTCGGTAAATATTGTCAAAAGGGTGGGTGTGGGTGTGGGCGTGGGCGTGGGCGTTGATGTGAATGTGGATGTGTTTTCGAAGACAGCCTGATATCCACACCCACACCCACACCCACACCCGACACCCACATCCACCCACACCCCACACCCACACCCACATCCACCCACACCCACCGTCTTAGGCATGCTGGAAAATGGTTTAGAATTTTGACGGTATTGTGGTTTCGTATTTTTTGTGCATCTGTCTGTTTTCAACTTTTTTAAAAATGAATGATTCGATATTTTTTGCAAAAAACGAATTCACAGCGTGTCTTTAGTCATGAAGACAAAGAACTGATGAAATTATATATAAAAACAATATCGTATACAAAGTAGCCCATTATTTCTTCTAGATCGCCGATAATGTCAGTTGCATATGTATACAAGAAGAAATAACTATCAGGATTACTATGGAGTACCGTGTCCATGGGTTTGACAATCATAATGATGTTTTCTTATTTATCCTGTTTTGATTGATTTACATTTCGATCAGTTGTAATTTTTCACTCGTTGTGGTGATTGATCGTGTTGTGGTAGCTTCACACAACTAAAATCATTTCATCGAAATAAGATAATATTTGAGAACAATGTTAATATAAATTTCGTATGTTATAAATCAGATTTAATTCTTCTTATAACTGTGAGAAATAAAAATCAAATAAATAATTTTCCTAATGTGACTTCGTAGGCAGGGATAAAAATAGTAAAATGACATTAAAATGCCTATAAATGGTAATTATTATAATGATGCAAAACAGTCACAAATAATGCCAAAAAAATGCTTTTCGTGTGAGGTATTACAATGTGCATCATGTAACGCATTAAAATAGCTAATCTTTTGACTAGCAATGGAGATGTTTGTGTTATTAGTTAATATGCTTAGATATATTCGGGTCAAATTACAACTTTCATTATTAAAGGAAGAAATATAATATATAGGCTTGTGTTGCCATGCCTAGACCGACATATTCAAACTTTAGGATATTTATATTATATGTAACATACTCACAAATCAAAATTTTAGCAGAATTTTTTTCTTTGTTTATCATAGTTGAATAGAACT